CCGGGAACTTCATCATATAACCCAGAAACCAATGAACCCTAAACATATACATTAGAGTCCTAACCCAGATCGAAGAACCCTAAGCAATTTCTACCCTAACCTCGTGAACCCTAGCCCATAATAACAAGGTGGATGAACCCTAACCATATAATTGAAGAACCCTAACCCTATAATTGAAGAACCCTAACCCTAGGTGGAGTGAACCCTAACCCTAACAAGAATTCTAAAACCCAAAAAAATAATCAGAAATCGTAATCAAACAAATCCAGTCAACAAACAAAGATTATTTTAGAGAGCTAAGTGCCACCTACCTCGTATGCAGTGATACTTCTCGTAACAAATTTAGTTCGATTCCTTCTCCAATCTCCTTCTGATCCTCTTCTCTCTTTTCTATATGCATGTACAAAATAAGGCATTGGGGCTAAGCTCTAAAGATCTTAGGGTTTCAATTGTGAAACCTAAGTCTTTCAACATTGAATAGCTTTGGTGATAGGGTGGGATTTCGTAGCAATTGGGTGCAAGGGTTTCTCTAGTTTTTTAAAGTTCTGCCTTAGTCTTAGGTTTATATAGATTTAGGAATTAGATAGATTAGGAAATTATTTGTGTAATTGTTGTTACAAAACATATTGATTCTATGATTGATTATAATCGTCAATTAGGATTAAATTTAGTTTAGAATTAGACTTAGGGTTCAAATCTGTAATGCATCTGGATTGATTATGTATGTAGGTCCGATAAATCAATAAAGATTTGATTTGAAATATTTGATTTCATTAATATTTTTAGATTTGGGCTTTAGGTTAACTTAGTGAAGAAGAAGAAAACGCGCCTCTGCTAGGACAAAGGGCTAAAAACCCTAGTTGAATTTTGATCAACTTTTATCAGATAATAATAATAATTTAAATAAATAAATTAAAAAAAATGATAATTGTTTTGAAGTTGTTGACCTCGGGTTAACCAAACGGAAATAAAGGTACTAATACCAAATGAAAATGTAAATTATAAATGACTATTAGTCAACTAAAAACATGTTTTTTATTAATGATAATAATATAAAAACTGAAAACAAATATTCTTTTTTTGTTTATAGTTGACCCCTATTTAACTAAGATATACAAAATATGATTAATTCACATAATAATTTATTTAAAACAAATAATAAACCATGATTGAATATTTATTTAGAACAAATGCCCCTACAACCAATGAAATAATTAAAATAACAAAAAATAAAAAACTATATTTTCAACGTTACCTAGATAAATTTAAATAAATTAAGCACAAAAGACTACAATACCCTAAAATGTTAATGAGATCTAATTAATAAAAATATACTAAATAAAATAATAAAAAAATACCAATGACTAAAACATAGAAGTAATCTAAAGAAATTTTTATATCCCGAGTGAATAAATATATTTGACTGTAAAATCAAGACAGACAAATTTGGATTATGACACTAACTCTATGATAATTAATTTGAACCGGATTGCGCAAGCTACCCATGAACCAATCATTATAGGAGGCTTAGTGACCATGATCACTAATGCCATTGGATTAAGATAACCACTTATTAGATGTAACCCTCTAGGTGGAATCCGATCCATGAACATTCAATTTTGTTTTAACCGTGACATGATTAGAAACCTGAGACCAAATGAATTTGAATTCCTGATCAACAATAAGGTTGTGCACCTATTTACCTTGCCAAACCATATGACTAGTGTACATGACAGAAACAATTGGCTTTTTGATTTGGACGAACAAAATGCACCACCCTATCCTCTAGAGACACCCCAAATCTAGAGAAAATCCTTTTTTGCCATTTGATCATATAATATTAAAATTCTTGATCTTTAGATCAAAGGTGTGCTTTAATATTCCAGTAACTTTTTGATAATGTTCATATAGTTTGATCTTTATTTAGTAAATCATTAGAAAGTTTATATTTTGATTTTTGATTCATGTCCTTTCTTTGATGATGTTCATTATGTTTGACTGTGTTAAGTCAATCATCAGAACATATTTAACACATATAACCATACATAATACTTTCTTTAGTCTTGATTTATCTCAATGAATAAATTTTAACTTTAATTGTCTTCAACTAGTACTAATAAATAGAAATGACCATCTCTCTTTGTTATCATGACGAATTTGTTATGGTGAGATAGAAACCAACTAGTTTTCTCAAAGACCTTTCATTAAAGAAAGCAATTTTTGAGTAATCTTTAGAAGTACCTAAATTTTGTTAATCATCAACATTTCCTTTACCCACCCTCTTATGTCGAGCAAAAGCCTCAGGAAATCAATGTGAAATTGAAATTTCCTCCTACTAGTTTTTTCATGCTCAATATCAATGAGTCATACTTCAACTAATACTTTCATTTTGTGGGGGTCTCATTAGATACTTTATGTGGAATTTATGTTACTAGTTTAGATTGTAATCTTGGTTGATTGACTTTCGTTTGTGGTAAGCTTTAAGGCCTTGTCCATGGTTTAAAAATGACAAGTAGTTTAAGTTTCTCTTTCTTATTTGTCGAGAAGGATTCTCTTTTTATGGTTAAAATTGTTTCTCAAAGTTTTTATTTCCTTATTTGCTCCTATTCCATCTTGAAACATTATCTCTCATGAATTAGACAAAGTTAAAGTATGAGAATAAACATGTTTCTTGAGAAGTTAATTCTTGTATAAATCGTCTTGCATATATCAATCAAAATGATAAGTTTCATTTAATAGAGTTTTCAATTCCTCTTGTTGGATTGCTTCTTAGTTGTTTTTTAAACTTTCTCTTAAAGAAAAATGCAGATTTCATATCGATGAATTGTTATAATTTTCATGCGGATTTGTTTATGTTTTTTTAAAATAATTTTTATAATATTATATGTAAAATCAAGCTTCACAAATAAGTTTTTGTTTTGATGAAGACAAACCATGACTAACAAAGAAGGCAAAGATTTATGATCAGGCATCTAAGCATCTAAGGATAATATCTTCATTCAAAGCTCTCAATAACTTTAAATGTATAATAATATTATCTACTTTGATCTTAAGATATAGATGCTCTCAAGTGAAAAAGAAATGTTTAAGAATCATTACTCAAGCTTTTCAAAGATAAAATTTCCTTTTTTCTTCTGCATGCAATCGATTTACATCTTAGTGCAATCGATTGCACACTTCAAAATTTCAGATCTTTTGCTTCTGTTTCTATGTGCAATCGATTTACATTACCTATGCAATCGATTGCATACTTAAAATTTTCAAAACGTTTGCTTCTGTTTCTTATGCAATCGATTTACATTGCAAGTGCAATCGATTGCACTCCGTTACTTTTTGCTACTGACTTTGCATGCAATCAATTACATTGTTAGTGCAATCGATTGCACTCTTAAAGATTTTGAAAAAAATAGCTATTAAAAACCTCGTGCAATCGATTTACACCAAGGGTGCAATCGATTACATACTGCACGGATTTGAAAAATAGCAGCTTTGTTCATGCCTTTTTATCATGCCTTTTCATTACAACTTTTCACTCAAACTTGGCATTTGTTCATGATACATTTCCAGATCTTCATGATATTTCAAAAGGGTATTATGAACATATAAATATTCAATTTCAAATCCAGATCTAACACCTTCTTCCAAAAATATTTTCTGAATTTTAAATACAAACTCAAGCATTCTTCATTTTCATGCATAAAGTTTTCTGCACATTTTCATACATTAACAAACAGAAAACTTTGAGCAAATATATTTTGAGTCTTTGTACAATATTATTATTGAAAGAAGAAGATTATACATTGTCAAATCACTCTAAGTGATCAATATTACTCTACTCACTCAAACTCACAAATTGACATTTACTTACTTATTTTTCAGGATTGTTGGAATTAAGTTCAAGTGTTTTTGTTGAAATCTTGTCTTTCCAAGTTGTTGGATACAAGTGTAGTTACATTGAGAGGATTGTTCTCATAGGTAACTTAGTGAAAATCTAAGAGGATTGTTCTTGGTTTGGTTGGTAGTTCTTGTTTAAGTTTGCCACAATAAGGAAATCTCTTTCATGTTGAAAGGGGACTAGAGTATTCTCGGACTGTGAGGGGAACCAGGATATATCGCCCGTGTCTCTTTATTTTTTTGTATTTTTAAGCTTTCCTAAACTCACTTATAACCAGAAAAATAAGAACCATCATCACTAAAAACCAGAATTTTTAAAGTACCTAATTCACCCCCTCTTAGGCGCACTTCGTACTTACATTATATATTTTATTAAAATATTTTTTAAAATTTAAAAAACTTTAAATAAAGAAATAATTTAAATAACTTTTTATAAAATTTCATTAAATATTTTATTTTTTATTATAATTCATTTGGTTGTTAAAATTTCAAATAATCATTTAAATTTAAAGTTATTTTGAATAGCTTTTTAGAATGTATATTTATGTTTATGTATTGGAGGCCAAAGTTAATATTTTTATTTATAAAAAAATAAATAAGAAAACTTTACTACTTTAATTTTTTCACAAAATGATTTTTCAAAGTAAAAATATCTATTATTTAAAGCTAAAATAATTTGACTTATAATATTCAGAAGTGTAATACAGTATAGTAAGAATGATTTGAATAAGAAAAATAAAAATATATATTTATTATTATGGGATAATAATAATAATAGATGATTGTGATTAATTGTTGTCTGCTTTCGTATTTTCTATACTAATATTTTTTTCGTATTCAGATATATTTTTATTTATTTTTCTCTGTTTCGGTAGTTTCTTTATACTTATCTTACTGAAAGATGTCTTGGGTAGGTAGGGTTGTTTAGACTTTAGTCAAATAGTTAGTACTAGTAGATTTTTTGCCTAATTATTCTTGTCCTTTGTTTTTTTCCCTTCAAGAAAAAAAAAAAAGAATATTTGGGAAGCAATTGAAAGTTGAATTTGCATTGACGACTAGTGATCACAGTCATCATCCTCAGCAAATCCGTCTCACTCATTCACAGAATGGCACCGTCTTTCGCACTTGACGGCGGCGAAGACTCTAACAGGGTGGCTCCTCCTCCTTCAGTTACCGGCCGTTTCGCTTCTGATTACAGCGACGTCCAAAACAGTCGTATCTTCCACACTCTCCGTCTTCCCTCTGTTCTCAAAAGCCCTTTCACGATTGTCGACGGTCCTCAAAGCTCCGCTGCCGGAAATCCCGGTCATCCAATTTCCCTCTCATGTATCAATTTTCGATTTCTCGTCAAATTCTCGCCTTCGCTTGTTTTGATCGTGTCATTTTTGCAGATGAAATCGCGAAGCTGTTTCCGAACCTGTTCGGGCAACCGTCAGCGATGCTGGTGCCGAGTGGTTCTGATGCTGTGATGCCTAATCAGAAGTTGAAGATTGGCGTGGTTTTGTCCGGTGGTCAAGCTCCTGGAGGTCACAATGTGATTTCTGGAATTTTCGGTTAGTAAGGCTAGTTTTCAATTCAGCAGAATCAATCAATAACTTCAAAGGTTGAAATAGGATTAAAGTCATGATCAGTAATTATGAAAATTTATGTGGTTGGATTTCAATTTATGCATTTTGATTTTGGTGTTAGATTACCTACAAGATAGAGCAAAAGGAAGCATATTGTATGGTTTTAGGGGTGGTCCTGCAGGCATCATGAAGTGCAAATACGTTGAGCTCAACTCAGACTTTATTCATCCTTATAGAAATCAGGTTTATGTTTTTTAGTTACATGCAAGGTTTTAAATAAGTTGTGCCGCGACGAAGTCGTATCAGAAGGTTGTGATCTGATACCGATACCGATACCGTTATTATTCGTTTTGGTGATGAAGAACAAATTATGGTTAATTTATATCGTGACGACTGCAATCAGTGTCACAACACCTGTACCGACTGAAATCGCGAAAGTTTATGCATCCGCGACAGATTTTTAAAACCTTGGTTACATGTTTTTGGGGAGCATCAAGCTTCCAACTAGTTATAATTGTAGTTTGGCGATTCTTTATTTTTATGTGGCTGTAAAACTTGATATGCCTTCTATTTCTGGCTCATTTACATACAGATGTTTTCAAATGTTCTAATATAACTGTCACTCTTTTCTTCTAGAAATTATGATATTGTGACGATTAACATGAATAAGTTTGGTTGGCAGGGTGGTTTTGACATGATTCGCAGTGGGAGGGACAAGATTGAAACTCTAGAACAGGTTGGTCAGTTTATACGCTCTACAGAGTGTTAAGTTGGACTCTTATGTATCTTTTAGTGTGAGTAGTAATGTGTTTTACATGTATAGTTTAAACAAGCTGAAGAAACAGTGAACAAGCTAGACTTGGATGGGCTGGTTGTTATTGGTGGAGATGACTCAAACACAAATGCGTGCCTCATTGCTGAATATTTCAGGTTTTTCCAAATGCAATTTTATTTTGGCATGATTTATGGCTAGGAACATGATTCATGTAGTCTTTGTTAATGTAATTGTATCTTCTTGTTAATTGTTGATTATTTACCTTTGATAACCTTTCAGCTGTCCTATTGTTATATAAATTTGTTTTGTTTGTTTAATTTGGGTTTATACAGGAGCAAAGACGTGAAAACTAGTGTGATTGGGTGCCCTAAAACCATTGATGGTGATTTGAAATGCAAAGAAGTGCCCACTAGTTTTGGGTTTGATACTGCATGCAAGGTGAACAAGGCTATACAGATAATCTGCACTGTGCATTTATAATTTTGTATTGGTCTAAACTCTAACTTTTATACATTAAGATTTCAAAAATGCAATCCTGTCTTCGGATCACCAAATAATTTGCCAAATAAAAATAATGCCTAGGGTAGTCCTCGAAATATCACCAGCCTTTTTTTATTGAACACTTCCATTAGAATATATGAAAAATATTATTTATATCTTTGGATTGTGTTTTGAAATTCCATATATTTATCATGTTGTACTATTTCATTAAGAGCATGAATCTTGCACTGGTATAAATAAGGGTCAGTGTTTTCTCTTTCAGAAATGTGTGGAACACATCAACCAATGACAACATAGGACTTATTTGTTTAAACTTTCAAAAAGAGGATTTTAAAATTTTTAAAAAATTGGTTTACATTTTAGAGATTCCTAAAGTAGAAGTTATTTTTTGTTTGATTACAATTATAAAAAGAAATTTTATATCGAAGTAATCATTATAATATGTAGCTTTTAAAAATAAACAGAAAATTGTTTTTGCTTCTTTCAGATTCCAGTTTTTCTCCAAAAGCTTAAGCATGCAGTCTAAAAAAATTAGAAGTAAATTTTTTAAATAAAAATATTTTATCAAAAATGCTAAAACAAACAGGCTCTTAATTATATTATTCAGGGTATTCTTTTTCCCCCTTCTATACCCAAAGTACTAAATCCTATAACTTCAAGTTGCTATCCAACTAGTATCATCCTTTATGAATTGATTGATCATCGTCCTAGATGCAGCGTGGCCTTGATTTATGTCCTAGGTGCAGTTTGTGTCGATTTTTGTCCCAGATGCAATGTGGCTTCAACTTTTCTCCAAATGTAGTCTCTAGCGCCATCTTTGGTTCATGATATGGCGTTGCCGATCTCCAAGCTAAAATATGTATCATTTGGTTTTTTTATTTTTTATGATGTATATAATCAATTTGGCTCCTATAAAGTTTTTTATTTTTGACAAATTGACTCCTCTAAAGTGAGAAATTAGTAAGTGAAAAAATCAAGTGTGTACAGTATCAACCATTAATTTGTTTACCAACAGTTGATATTACTGTCTATACTCTCTAAAGTGAGTCACTCACTTTAAAGGAGCCTTGTCCGTATTCACACATAATACATTTGAAACAACTTTAAAGCTTAGAAAACTTTAGCTTGAAGGGGTTTATATATGAAAAAAAGTATAACATATTGATCATATGTTAGAGTAAATAAGTGTATCTTTGGTTTTCTCGTATTTATTTTAGTTTGTGAGACTATTCTTTGTATTAATAAAGATTAGTACCTTTGTCTTCAGTAATCACATCCAAGTATCCAAATTCCAGCGTATCATTTATTTACATCATTATCAATATAGGCTTATTATTGTGAGTATTTTCCCCATCCTATGCCGAACGTTTCGACGTTTTCTTTCTTCAACCATTATACGTTCCTTTAACAGTTGAACTCTACATAATTTATGACATGTACCTCTAATGCTTCTTTTACATGGTCTGACCTTGTTCTCATTTTTATGTACATATTATGCAGATATATGCAGAAATGATTGGAAATGTTATGATAGATGCTCGTTCAACAGGAAAATATTACCATTGTAAGTACATGATTGTGTAAAATTTTATATAACTATAGCAAATTGCATTTAATGAGTAGACTTTACAGCGTTGCATTGACAATTCTTAATGCAGCACCTTGCACATTCAAGTGTTGATTTCTGATGTCTCATTTTCATCCCATTTCTTACAAAATGGGCCACTTATCTGTATAAGTTTTTACATATTTTGCAATTCAGTTCCCAATATTACTTCTTGTCATTCTTACATGTGAAATTTTGAAGTCATGTTTTCAATTTTTTGGTTTTGAAATTGCAAATACAATTATTGTGACAACAGAAACATTCCAATACATGAATGAAGTCTTTATTTGTGGCTTATGCCATCTTTTGACTCAAATATTTTGTTTTTCTCAGAAATCTTACTTCTATTTGACTTGAGGTAGAAATACCTTGTTCATAAAACTTCCTTGCATTGTGTTCTCTTGTAATGAACTTCCCTACTTTTGATTTTCTTTTATTATGTTTGTGCTCATGCCTTACTTTTGCTGAAAGGTTGATTTATTTTCATCATATTTTATTGAGTCATTGACAAGTTCATTAAAATAAACCAATTCCCTATATTATTGTTCTATTGAGCTTCAAACAGTGGGTGAGATATGGTCACCTGTCTGCAGTTGTGCGGCTTATGGGGCGTGCAGCTTCACACATTACACTGGAATGTGCTTTACAAACTCATCCAAACATTACCATTATCGGAGAAGAGGTTTGTCATAAATTTGATCACGTCATCTAGTGTTTGGGCAGTGCAGAGGTTAATAAAATCAATATTAAATGCATCAATGTCGATTTTGCAGTTGAGGTTTGCTAACGGCATCCACTGCTTGTATTTTTTTGTCAGAACTTTTAATGGAAAGGAAAATAACTGTTTTGTGCAGCTTTTTATCCAGAGAAGTATAATTAAATGAAGGGCATAGCCAGAGAAGAATAATTAATTGAAAAACATAGTTAAAATTTTGCTTTGACATGCTAATTAATTACCCCTTAATATGTAAAAAGTAGTGGACCAGCATGATAAATCAATACTCATGGGCTGCTGAAATTTTTAGTGGAGGCTTAAGTTACTAAAAAATTTCAATATTCATTACTTCCTCCCTCTCAAGCAGCCGATGACTTTGTTGTGCAGTTTATCTACTTTTATTTAGTGATATTTTTAAGGTGTTCTGTCAAATATTTTATTTGACCAGTAAAATCTTAATTTAGGTTGCTGCCAAGAAGCTGACACTAAAGAATGTCACTGACTACATTGTTGATATCATATCTAAAAGAGCTGAGGCTAATTATAACTATGGGGTCATTCTTATCCCGGAAGGTCTAATTGATTTCATTCCCGAGGTAGCTACCGCTCTTCATAAAAATATTTCCATTTAACAAATTTTCTTCCTGATGATGTTTTGGCATGTTTTCATGTCCAAGAATACGAAATGCTTGCCGGCAATAATTATTATATCTACTATTTGTTTGTAGGTCCAACACCTTATTTCAGAACTCAATGAAATTCTGGCCCATGGTACTGTGGATGAAGGTGAGTTATGGAAGAAAAAGCTCACTGATCAGTCATTGAAGCTTTTTGAATTCTTACCTCAAACAATTCAAGAGCAATTAATGCTTGAAAGAGATCCACATGGAAATGTTCAGGTGCTTAATGGTGTTATGTTGCTCTGCTTATTTTGCCCACTATGCAACTTGACTAGACCTCATTGTTGGTATATTCTCAACTAGGTTGCTAAGATAGAAACAGAGAAAATGTTTATCCAGATGGTCGAAACTGAGTTGGAGAAGAGAAAGCAAGAAGGCACATACAAAGGTGGATTCAAAGGGCAGTCTCACTTTTTCGGGTACTCTATCTAGTTTCAGTCTTGAAGTTGCAAGGTTTGATGATATAAGTTGTTCTCTAACAAAAAAGAGGTTCTGTGGACCAGCTTTACAATTTTCCTTTAACTATTATTTATTTTTTAAAATCTTTTTCACCATACATTTGCTAATGGTATGACTATGTTCAACCTCAATGATTAGTGTTTATAATTACCCGCACTCATTTGTAATACGCAGCTATGAAGGAAGATGTGGTTTGCCAACTAATTTTGATTCTACTTACTGCTATGCTTTGGGTTATGGTGCTGGAGCCCTCCTTCAAAGTGGGAAGACTGGATTAATATCATCAGTTTGTTCTTTTCCTAATGCTCTTTTCTTTTCATTATCACTTTTACTACTAAATTCGTCTTGATGATTGATTGTGGTTAAAATTTTCTTGGGATTCGAGCCATCAACTCAATTCTTTGATTGCCATTGATATTTCGTTCAGGTTGGGAATTTGTGTGCCCCAGTAGAAGAGTGGACTGTTAGTGGAACTGCACTTACCTCACTAATGGACGTGGAGAGGAGACATGGTACGCATTGTAATCTACAGACGCTTTCGCTTCACAGCATACCCCATTTCATTTCTATGAATTGTGTTCATATAACCTTCTATCTCCACGTTGATACAAAAATAAGTTTATAGTTATATCTATGCTGTCTCGGGTGTTAACAAAAAATATATTTAAAATTAGAAATATTTTTTTCTTTATTTTTTCTGGATTATCAATATTTACAAGCTGCTTCTTTTAACAATGTCTGGTAATGTTAAAAAGCCACAGCACTGCACATTTCATTTATTTGAATGTTTTTCTCTAATGTTTTGTTTGTGTATTGTGTGCACTTTTTCTGTACAGGTAAATTCAAGCCTGTGATTAAAAAAGCAATGGTGGAGCTTGAAGGTATATATAATCATCTATTCTTTACTCAAAAGTAACGAGCCGAAACTATATTTTCAGCCACACAGAAAGGTTGACAGTGAATTAAAAGAGAATCAAAAATATTTTTTTTCTATGGGTCCATAATGTGGTACAAAAGATTAGGTTTTTACCCCTCTGTTTTCATTAATCACCATGGGGTTCTTGGTTGCCAACCATAAGGGCATGAATCCAATCTTCCAGAATTTCAATGTTAGGAAAAGTGGATTTACAAATCATACACTGTAATTATTGCTGTTATACTGGGAGCTCCAATTATCTTGTGTCTAATAACTAATTTTCATGTTGAATTTTCAGAGCCACCCTTCAAAAAGTTTGCCTCCATGCGCGGTGAGTGGGCCCTAAAGAATTGCTACATCAGTCCAGGTAGGCATGAATTTTTCTTTCACTTATTGTTTCCTTTGTCTGCTCCTAAAATGGCGATGCTCCTTCACTTTGTACAGTACAGTTTAATTAGGTAAAAGTAGATCTCACTATTTTGTAAATGGTAAAAACTGTGTTGAATGAGTTTATCCAAGTATTTTTAACATTTTTCCAGTAATTTATTGTTGATAGCTGGAAATTAGTGCTGCAAGTCAGAATTTGTTTTCTCTTGGACTTGAGATTACTCTCATTATCATGATCTTTACTGTAGGTCCGATTCAATTCACTGGCCCAGGATCTGATGCAATTAGTCACACTCTACTCTTGGAGCTTGGCGCGCACGCTTAGACGTGCTATGAGACAACATTTTGATGGCGGATATTCACATGTTTTTTAAGAACTACTGCAAATATAATAAACCCGGAGAACATTTAGTGCTCGTGTTTCTGTTGAACTTTGTTAGAGTAATTATGTGAGAAGAGTGTCTGTAGATATAATCAATCAAATGTTTTAAAACATGAGAGAAAATACAATAAAGCTTCTGCTTTATTTCAAAGTTGTCTTTTTAATTTGTAAGCCTATTAAGCTTGCAAATATGTAAATCTGAGGATTGTTTTTGGGATCATTTCTCTGCATTATTCTGATTGGATTCTATAAGTATTTTGATACTGTTTTTACATACTAAACCCAATCACATAACTTCTCATCTTTCGTCTTGGGTTTTGAAACTCAATCTCAAAAATTCAACTTTTTGTATCGGCTCGTTAGTCACAAATCAGTCTGTTGGAATTACACCAAATTTGTGGAGAATTCCGAATCAAATTTGATGAATAAGAATCAATTAACCGATCGAATATCTTTTTGTTCTAAATTCTTCACTCAAGTGAATCAATCAATCTTAATTGCAAGATGAAGGAGGGAAGAAGATAATTTATGCAGAGCTTTTCTCTGTTTCTTAAAACTGAACCTTTATTCTTTTGCAACTGCAACTTTAGTACTATATTACAATAATAAGGGTTATTCCTTATTTATATATGTCAATTTGCTTGTTCCCTAAGTAAAGCCCAAATACTTAATATCACTAACACTATAAAATTAGGTCTAAGTTAAAAATTTTATCGAGCAACCTGCTTCGATATTTTGACAACTACATAAATTCGACACACACTAGGCTATTTCGACACCACTTTGTTTCTGTCAAACAATCTGTTTTGACACAGAAATTACATTCTCAACACCACTTAATTCATTGTGTCTAAACTATATATTCATCATAGATCTTAATTTCTTGAACACCTTGATCTGCACTAATTTCGTCAAAATGTCTGCAATTTGATTCTCAGTTCTGCAGTGCTTTAAGTTCAACTTTCCATTTGCTACTTATTCTCGAAGATAATGAAACCACATTTCGACGTGTTTGTTTCGTCCATGTGCTATCAGATTCTTTGTCAGATTAATAGCTGACATGCTGTCGATCTTCATAGTAATTGATCTATGGTTCTTCATTGTTATTTCTTCGACCAGATTCACCATCTATGTTGCCTGTCACACACAAAGAGAAGTAGCTATGTATTACACTTCACACGACGATAATGCCACTACTGATTCTTTCTTGAACTCCAAACAACTGGTGCTCCACCTAGCATAAACACATAGTCAACTGTGAATTTTCTGTCCTCAACTTCACTACACCAACTTGAATCGGGGTATTCCACTAGTTTGCATTTTTTTTCCTTCATCACCTACATGAAACAAAATGCCATAGTCGAGAGTTCCTTTGAGATACCTTAGTATCCTCTTCATCACTGTTAGATGTGATACCTTTGACTTTTGCATGAATCTACTCACCATATCCACATTGTACGCTAGATCAGACCTTGTGTGACAAAGGTACCTTAATGGTCCAATAAGTCTTCTATACTGCGTTGGGTCGACATCATCTTCATCTGAGTCTTTCAACAGTTGCAGTTTTGGTTCAGCAGGTGTCGAAGTCGAGTTACATTCTTCCGTCTCAAATCTCTTGAGTATTTCACTTGTATATCTTCTTTAATGCATCATCAATCCTCTACTTCTCCTGTAGAATTCAATGACAAGAAAATATGAAATATTGTCCATATTAGACATTTCTAACTCTTTGCTAAGATCACCTTTGACGTCTTTGATATCTTTCTAGCAACTACATGCTATCAACAAGTCATCGACATCTTACATATACTCCGTGCTTAGTTGTGCACTTCACAAATTCCCTCTCCTTTAAGAAACTGTATATCTTCTTATTCCAAGCTCTTGGAGCTTGTTTAAGTCCATACATGGCTTTATGCAGCATGTACACCTTTCTTTCTTTGCCTTGTTTCACAAACCTAACTGGTTGTGCAACATAAACTTCTGCATCTAAGGGGTTGTTGTACCCCAAAATTTGCCCTCCCATATTCTCCAATAAACTGCCAAGCCAAGCTACAAAATTCCCCAAGAATTGCACAATGCAAAAGTCTCCCATACAGTCAAATTAGGGTTTTGAGTCTGATCAAGAAAAGGAAGTTTTCAAAGGCTCAATCAAGCCTCATATGCTTACAAACATGGTCAAGCATCCTCATATCAAGTTTCAAGGCATTCAGCTCAAGATTGCACAGTCAAAACCCTAAATTGCACTACAGTCAACTGTAGGGGCAAAATGGTCATTTGGCAGTCAAAAGTTCAAATTTTTGGTCAATATATCATTTTGAAGCCACAAACATCATTTGATCAATGCTTGATCATGATTCTCAAAATTTGGCTCAGAAATCATCAAAGATGCAAAAGTTGCTATATTTGGACAGCTGAAAAAGTCAACTGAAATTGACCAGGGCATAACTTTCACATGGATTATCAGAAAAATTCCATCCAAAGCTCATTTTGAAGAGAAAGACATTTCCTACAACTCATCTTCATACTTCAAGTCCAAGAAATGCTCTCACAAAAAGTTATCAATTTCAACATTACAGGTCATTTTCAAAAGTCAACAAAAAGGGACTTTAAGTCAAAGGCCATAACTTGAGATTGGAAAATCAAAATGACATGGGACCAAAGGCATTGGTTAAAGGACTCAAAGACCTTTCCAAAATGTCCAAGAACATGTGAAAAGCTTAAAAATTGAGCAAGTTATGCCTTGTAGAAGTTGGGAAATTTTGTGAAATGGCAAAAGTCAACTATCTTTGAAAATCCAATTTTTGACAAAAGGGCCCCATTTTTTCCACTTGGTCCATCCTTGTCATGCCACACACGTGGCCCATGATTAGTTTCAAGACCAAATATTGATTTTTTTATTTTATTTAATTTTTGATGATTTAATTCATTTTAATTCTTTGAAAATTCAAATAAAATTTAAAAATCAATGAAATAGTGTCAAATGAACTTGGACAATTCCTATGTATCATGAATCTACTCAAGAAATCAGGCTAGGGTTCATTTGCACACTAGGTCTAGGTTTTGGCTAAAAAGGAGGAAAATGGTTAAGGGTGAAAACCCTAGGACTTATTCTTTCCCAAGCATGAATTAAGGTCAAAAAACAAACCAATTCCATTCCATGATCATCACTGAGTCCAACCCTAACCATAACTCAGCAAAAGGCTCGCTCAAAAGTGGATTGGCAATTTGAAAATTTGGCATAAAACACAAAATCTGAAATCACTACAAAAGGATCTTCCAAGCCTTAATTTTTGTTCCATAAGCATCCTGGACAATCACTGAACACGTTCCAATTCAAAACATCTTCCAAAACTCCCTGAACTGGTATCCACGAGTCCAACGGCATCTTAAAAATTCTGAAATCATATAGCACGATTCAAGCATATTCTTGCAGTTTTTTTTAGATATTCATACTCATGATGATGTTTCTGAGCTAACCTTTGCGTTTGATTTCATTTTTGTGCCATGTATAAGAACTTGCCATGTGAGAATTTTAAGGTTACAGCTTTCTCAAATTAGGGATTTCACATAGAGGAAAAATTAGGGCCCAGGACCACCATGGTTGAACTCAGTACACCAAGACGAATGGATTGACCTACTCGCGACAAATTTATGAGCTACAGGGACCTAATCGCTATTTTCTCAAAAGCTGCCTAACACTACACTTCAAAAACCGTTGCCTTCTTGTTTTGTGTTTCAGGAAAATGGAAGGGATGATGGCGTGGCATACAGGGATTGGGAGGTTTAAAATCTCGCGCGCAGTTCAAATAGCACTGACCTTTTTATTTTATATTGTTTATTAACTATTATATGTTAAATGAAATCAAGTGGCTCAGCTGGCAGGGACGCGCGCTAGAGACTCTCATGACCTGGGTTCAAACCCCAGGTCTCACACATTTCTCATATTATTTTTTTCATTTGAATTCCCATGCAGCATAACATTGAGGACTCACCATGCACTTCAAAATCAACTCATCCACGTGTCTCTGAGCACCCACATCAAAGGCAAGGATTGGGGAGTATCCTACGCTTCAGTCAAATGCATCACACTGGATCAAAAAAGTCAATGGATTGCCAGCAAATGGGCCAGGCTTTTTCAAATCTGCACCTCCAATTCTGGGGTCTACCCCCCTGGTTTGCCCATTTAATTTATTTTCTTATATCTTTTAATCATTTATTTTAATTGTTATATTATTTTAATTACTTGTTTTATTTAATTTTTTTAATCAAAATACAAAAACATCATAAAAATAAAAAGGACCAAAATAAAAAATATAATTTTTATTTTAATTATTTTCTAAATAAATACTTGTAATTACTTAGTTTAATTAGGGTACAACTTTAATTCCTTTTAATAAAAATCAAAAACAAAAACATAGAATTAGGTTAATGACCTTTTCCTTTTAACTTTCCTTGTTTTTTGCCATAGTATTAGTGTTTTTCATAATTAAACTAGGGTTGCATTTTAGGTTAGATTTTAATTCTTTTAATAACTAAAATCCAAAAAAATAGAGTTTAGGTTTAATAACTTTTTATTTTCTTTTTTTTTAATAATAATATTATTTATTTATTGTACATAAATTAATTTAGAACTAAATTAGGTTAGAAATTAAATCTTTTTCTTAACAACTTTAAAAAACATTAGAACTAGGGTTTAGCATTTTAATTTTAATTAATTTTTCTTTTTTTTCTTTTAAATCTAAAAAACACAAAAATACCATTTTTCATTTAATTTTAATTTTAGATAACTTAATTATTTTAATTCTTTTAAAGGGTCCAACGCCCTCGCATTTGATTATTTTCTTTTTTGCGCGTTTCATTTATTTCTTTTGTAAATAATTATGTATATGTACCAAAGCCATGTAATAACTATTAGAAATTTCTTTTCTGCAATTTATTTTAAA